AAAAGAAGACTGGGAATACTTTGGCAAATATTTAAAGAAATATAACAATCAGTTAAATATATGAGCAGCAGTTAAAATAAGCAGAATAGGGGTGGTAATTAAGGAGATGCAGCTTAACAAGGACTAAATAAGACCCCATGGAGGAATGTGTGTGGAAGTCAGAGTGTAAGATAAACAATGACAATTGTATAACTGATGTACTAAGATATGTAAAAGGCATAAAATTAAAAAGGAGAAAAAGATATCTGGCCTGGCAGACGGGAGTGACTATTAGCAGGAAAGGGGTGCTGAGAAATAGCCAAGAGGTTGGGCAGATGAGATACAGCGTACCTAGCAGAAGAGGGTTGAGAGACCTGAAAAGAATAGGCCACATGCTCCCAATTTTCCAGGAAGGGCCTCTTTTCTCTGTCCCCTGCTATCTTTGCTACATCCCTGCCACCATTCTTGCCTTTGAGAGAGGGATGCCTTGTGGCAATGTTGTTATTGTGCATCTTCACTCTTTAGGGCCCAGACTGGTTGGGAGAGCAAATATGCATTTATTCCTCAGTACAAATGGAAATAAAATGGGAGGCATTAATGTGGGGGGTCCCATGCTGTGTGCAGTTTCAGACCTTCTAAGTGTCCCTGTTTTCCAGGGACAGTCCTGGATTTACAGAAGCTGTCCCGGTTTCTGATTTGATCCCGGAATGTCCTGCTTTTCCTTAAAGGTAAAGGTAAAGGGACCCCTGGCCATTAGGTCCAGTCGTGACCGACTCTGGGGTTGCGCTCTCATCTCGCTTTATTGGCCGAGGGAGCCGGCGTACAGCTTCCAGGTCATGTGGCCAGCATAACTACGCCGCTTCTGGTGAACCAGAGCAGCACACAGAAACGCCGTTTACCTTCCCGCCGGAGCGGTTCCTATTTATCTACTTGCACTTTGACGTGCTTTTGAACTGCTAGGTTGGCAGGAGCAGGGACCGAGCAACGGGAGCTCACCCCGTCACGGGGATTCGAACCACTGACCTTCTGATCGGCAAGTCCTAGGCTCTGTGGTTTAACCCACAGCGCCACCCGCGTCCCCTTTCCTTAGGACATCCCTAATTCCATCAGAGAAATCTTGGAGGCTATGCAGTTTGCCAGTTCACACACACTGCCATTACTGAGGTGTATTTTGGAAGTCTGAGAACATGATGCGTGGCAATGACAGTTGTCTAATATATCTCTTTGGTCAAAAGAGCTGCTGCCCTCCTAGCTTTCGAGACAGGCTGTTGAAGAGCAAATGCCTTCAGCTCACAGCCTTCAGCAATGGGCAGGGCTGGAGGGGAAGACTTGGTGGAGTTTGGAAAGGTGGGTGCAGGAGGCAGAGGGGTGGAGGAGATGAACTTCAGAGAGCCCAGCAGAAAACCCTCACTGCAGACCCCAAAAGAAGAAGTATATTGTGGCATCCCCATGGCTAGCTTACCTGCAAGGCATAATATGTGGGCCTGCCTTGGAAGATGATATACAGCACATGCCAAGTGATGTGGGTTAGAAAATTTCCCCTTTTTTCATCAGGTCATTAGTAACAATAAATGGGTGTCAACAGCAAATACAATATTAGGGAAGCTTGGAAAGTCCCCCCCTTTATGCTTTGTTTACAAGTAAAATGAACACTATCGCTCTTCAGGAAATTTCACAGTGCAAATTTTGGCTAATTTGCATTGGAAATTTTTCCAGTACAACTTATTTCCAGAGAGGTCACATTACTAGCACAAGCTTTGCATGCAGAAGGTCTAAGATTTAATAATTATTAAAGGCAACCATATTCGTTATGGCATGAGCTTCCATGGACTAGTAGAATTTGCTCCATCAGAAGCATGATGGACTTGCATCAGAGGAAGTGGCATCAATGAAGACTTCTGCTAAATTTGTTAGGCTTTATGATGCTGCAAGACCCTTTGGTTATTTTTGCTCCAACAGAATAACACAGGCTTCTCTCTGGAAGCTTGCAGAAAAGCCTCAGGAACAGAAGAGGGTTCTAAGCACCAGGAGGGCGGGCTTCCTTTGAAATGCTAATAGGCGTCACAAAAATGTGGTTTTTTATTTTAACTGTGACAGGGAAAGAGAGTAAAACCCCTCCCTCCCAGCAGTCCTGGGGCTGCTCAGGCATTTGCTATTTGCTCAGCAAGAAAAAATGCATGTTAACTGTATTCACTTCACACAACCTAAGAAGAGCCTGGTGGACCAGTCCAATGGCCCATTTAGTCCAGCATCCTGGGGAGGGTGTTAAAAGGCCTTTCAAAGTGTGATATGCTGTATGGATGGGCTCTGTAGCTAGAAGGAATCTCTCTTTGCTAATCACAGCTGTCAGTGGTGGAGCAAGGTGACAGGAGGTGTTTTGCAAATCACCTGAGGTTCAGTTGTGGAACCAAATGGTTGGACATAAGTAGTCTAAGAAATTATTTAATAAATAAGCTGCTCTCCAAGTGACAGAGGGAAAAGTTGAGAACTTGGGAACCTCCCACCCACATATACAGATGCCTTCACAAACAGCTGTCTGGGCGAAGGTGTTGGGTACCATTCAAGGTAGTCTAGCAGCAGACCGGAGAGAGCTGACCCACAGCCTAAAGAGGGAGGAGGAGGGTGATGAAGAGAGCACCTGTTGCTGAAAAATCAGGTTAAGTGATGGACAGTAGAGCACCTGTTCCTTTCATGCAGAAGGTTCAAGTTTCAATCCATCTCCATGGAGGGGAGAGAGATTCTGTGTTGGCCAACAAAAATGGCTTTTCCCACCTGCCTTGCCTCATCCTCCAGCCCTAGGAGATCTTATAGGAGAGCTGTTTCCAGAGGAACAACTGTGAGGGGAGAGAGACTCTGTTTTCCATCAGGTGGCTGGTTTCACCTGTGCTGCCCCAAGAACTTAACAGTGCTTAGTGTAACCGACCTGTAGAAAGGACTCTATGAATTGAAAAGAGAGATGCTTATGTACCCTTGTTAACTATGAAAATCCTTTTTAAAAAAGAACCATTATTTATAAAAAAAAGCAATGCTTAGTGTATTTTTGGCTGCTATTTTGTTAATGTTGCTTTGTAAACTATGAATGTTGCATTGATTTGTTAATCATATAATATGACTTTTGCTTTAATTGTGACGTATAGCTTATTTTTTAGTTGCTGCTTTGCTAACAGAGCTTTATAGATTGTAATTGTTTCACTGATGATTTGTTAATTATTCTATATGATCTATGCTGCATTTTTGATGTTCTATGATGTTCCATAATGTTATTATTTATTGTTTGCAAGTCGCTTTGGGATTCATTTGAATGAAAAGCAGTATAGAGTTATAATAAATCAAATCGAATCTCCAGGTAAGACTCCCTGCCTGAAATTCTGGAGAGCTGTTGCCAGTCAGTGTAGTCAATACTGAGTAAGATGGACCAATGGCCTGACGTATTTTCTATGTTCTATTTCTAATGATGGGAGGAGGGGAAAACCTGCTCCTAGCTGATGGAATGGCAAACCCCAGGGATGGCTGTGCTCTGCCTCCAACTGGTATCCACGGTCTGGATACCAGTTGCTGGGAACTGCAAATATGGAAGAGTGCTCTTGCTCTCAGGTCCTGCTTGTGGACTAATAATAATAATAATAATAATAATAATAATAATAATAATAAATTTATTATTTATACCCACCCATCTGGCTAGGTCTCCCCAGCCACTCTGGGCATCTGCCTGGGCACTGTGAGAAGAGGATGGTGGACCATGAAGGGCCTTTGCCTGGATCCTGCGGGGCTCTTCTTATGTTGCTATGAAAAGACAGAGGTTGCAACTCTCCCTGCTTTGGCAGGGCAAGCCATTGACCCGGCTACCAACAACTGATGTCCCTGCTGCTGGGAAGGTGAACTTTGGATAACACTGTACAAACAAGCATGTTGGATGTTGGAGAGTAATAATTAAGCAGAGATTCCTGCCACCCACCCTCAGACATTGCAGAAATCTCTCCCCACTGTAAGAATAACGCCAAGCAAGTGAGGTGTCTCCCTCTTGCCTTGACTGTGTGGGGGGTGCCTCAACAGAGGGCTGGATCCCTGGGTCCGACTTGCGGACTTCCGCTGTCAAGTTCTCCTGCCCAAGCCTCATGGAAACAAACGAGAGATGAGCAAGAGAGCCCTTACATCTCTCCCATTCATTTCTAGGAAACTTGTGCAGGAGAACTTCTCAGTCCATGCCTCATTAGGAATGGGGGAGGAGGAGGTGCTATTTGGATTTCCCACCGCAGGCACCAAAATAAGCCTCGGCCCATCTCATCCCAGCCTGAAAAGGCATCTTTTTTATGTATGTACATCAGCCCATTACAATTAACACAACGGCAAACATACCCGAAGAAAGAAGCCCCGTCAAAAACTGCTTGTCACAAGGCGCAAAAAAGCTCACCGCCACCATCTTCAACCACACAATGCACAGATCTCCCTGCTGTTGATTTGTTTGTTTCAAGTCACCCACTGAAATGCTCTCTCTCAGATACCAGTTTATTTTGGATCATCAAAGGAACATTTCTTCATCCTCCACCCCACGGTACGCTGACTATTTTGAGAGAAGTCACAAATGTACAACACATCCCCTCCCTAGAAAGACCCCCCCCAGCAGCATCCCCCCAACAGCCTAAGAAACTCACAACAGAACATGCCACAGCTGCATCCAGGGCCACGCTGACAGCATTCAACATGGCTTTGTTCCCGTCGCCTCAAACTCGTGTCTTCGGAAAACCAAAAGTCGTCAGGATCCTGGCATGGTGGAAGGAGGCGGCATGCAGTGTCTCCACTGGTCTTGACAGCGAAGGCTTCCCTCATTCCCCGCCCCCACTCTGCTTCCCCACCCTCATGCGAGAGACGTGTGGTCTCAGTGCCAACACACCTGAAAATATGGGGGTGGTTGGAAGCAACGGTGACAGAAATGAACCGAAGGTCAACACCAGGAGCCTCACCACATCCGAATGCAAGTGAAACGTCTGACTGGAAGCAAGTTGTCTCCCAAGGCTGCTTACCTGGGTCTGGTTAGGGCAGGGCTGGAGTGCCCCAAATCTGCTTCTGAGTATCATAGCAGCATATTTGACTACACTTCTTGTTTGGGGGGTGTAGGTATTTTTCAGGTCAGCAGCCACACCTAAAGGCTTCCCAGGATGAAGCTGGGGTGTACTGGTGCCCCTCTGTTGCTGATTTCCTGCTTCCACCGCGGCAACCGAGGAGCGTGGCAACCGAGGAGCCCCCTCGGCTCTTCTTGGCTGGGCCTCGGAGAAGGAGAAGCAAAGCAGCAGCTGGGAGTTGTTGCCAGGACGCTGTCGCTATAGCAACCTCCGTGAAGCAAGGCCCTCCTCAAGAGGAGAGAGAGAGAAGGAACTTATTTATAGGGAACAAAATATCAGCACATACAAATCCTCTTTGAAGAGGCTTAACCCCACAATTATTTCCTAGCGGGGTCAGTTTCTCTCAGAAGATTGGCAGGGGGAAGAACAGTTTCTTCCCTTTTTCAAAAGCAAATTGCCAGCTGTGACGAATTCTAATCCAGGCAAAGCACAGACACAGAAAGAACACTTTGGCTTCCCATAGCTCAAGCTTATATCCTGTTCAGTGTGCACCACAGAATTCCTGCAGGCACACAATGCTCGGCTGTAAGGAAATGAAGTTGGTACACATAAAAGGTCCTGTTGACATTTCTCCGGGCTGTCATTCATAGAAATTAATTACCCCCTCTCCCCCCACCTCCAGTAAGAGAGAGTTTGGCCTGGTGGCAAAGCAACACAGTTGCCAACCAAAGTCAAGACACGCAGTATCGCTTTTTTAGAGAGAACAAAAGGAACCCCATGCAGGGCCATTGAGGCAAACTTCCCACAAAGAGGATGTTGAGCTCCATGAAATGCTACAAACCTCAGCCATGTAGCATCATCCCTTGGGAAGTTCTCCTGCACAAGCCACACACACACACACCCCGCCATGGAAAAGCACACACAAGAGCCCTTACGCAGGATAATTTTTGGCAGGTTGCTCCTCCGGTGGGAAAACTGGAGGGAACTGTCACTTGGGGTTTCACCCCAGCACCTCAAGGCTATAGCAAGTGGCCTGCTCCAGGCAGTCGGGTCCTGGGACTGGCTGCCTATCCAAGTAGGCTGAAAGACATCATTCACACTTGGGGTTCAAACAGGCAGAGATCAACTTTCAGAGCAGCAGATGTGAGAGGCTGAAGGCAGGTGCTTAGGCAAAGCCAGGTGGGGCTCAAGAAAACCCACTGGAAAAGTGGGAAAATGGGAGGTTGGCAACAAGGTTTTCACATCAAAGATGAGAATTACTATTCTTATTATAAATTTCTGTACTGGCTTTTATCCGAAGATCACAGGTTGATTTACAATATCAAAACACAAAAATACATACCATAATAACAAGCAAAAACAATACCCTTACTTCAGTTTAAAAGGCCAAATATTGTTTAATTAGCCATAGGCCTTGGAGTAGAGGCATGATATAGCTTGTAATGAAGGTACCAGGTGAGCCTCTCTGGGGAGAGCATTCCACAAGTGGGGGGCCACTGCAGAAAAGGCCCATTATTCTCTTGCCACCCGCTGGACCTTTCATCACAGAGGAGGCACACGAAGAAGGGCCTGAGATGATGATTGCAGGGTCCGGGTTTATATGGGAAACGGCATTGAGGAATTGTGGTCCTGAGCCATTTTAAGACTTTATAGGTCAAAACCAGCACTTTGAACTGGGCCTGGCAACTACCGTATTTTTTGCTCTATAAGACTCACTTTTTCCCTCCTAAAAAGTAAGGGGAAATGTGTGTGCGTCTTATGGAGCGAATGCAGGCTGCGCAGCTATCACAGAAGCCAGAATAGCAAGAGGGATTGCTGCTTTCACTGCGCAGCGATCCCTCTTACTGTTCTGGCTTCTGAGATTCAGAATATTTTTCTTCTTGTTTTCCTCCTCCAAAAACTATGTGCGTCTTGTGGTCTGGTGCGTCTTATAGTGCGAAAAATACGGTAATTGGCAGCCTGTGCAGTCGGGCCAGGATCGGTGTAAAATGCTCAAACCGTCTTGCCCTGGTGAGCAACCAGGCTGCCAAATTTGGCATCAGCTGAAGTTTCTAAACCGTCTTCAGAGGCAGCTCCACATATAATGTGTTGCAGTAATCTAACCTAGAGGTTACCAAAGCACAGACAACAGAACTTAGGCTAACCCTGTCCAGACAGGGGCACAGCTGGGCCACTAGCCAAAGTAAATGGGAGGCACTCTGCGCCAGCATGGTGTAGTGGTTAAGAGCAGTGGACTTGTAATCTGGTGAACCATGTTCACTCCTCCACATGCAGCTGCTGGGTGACCTTGGGCTAGTCACACTTTTCTGAAATCTCTCGGCCTCACTCACTTGTGAATATCAAAGCAGCAGAAATATGAGATTGAACCCTTACTGAACTCAAAGCATGGGTACCCCCAACAAAAATTTAAAATTCGGCTAAATATTTGGAGTTTATGATTTGTATTGATATAATTTGAAATAACTAATACGATATGATTGGTTTGTTAAATGGAAATTTAATAAACATTATTTTTAAAAAAATATTCAGAGTAAGCCCTCCCTCCCCCCGCCTACAGGTATTGGGGCAGATTACAGGTTAGGACATCTCCGCGGCTGTCCTAGCAGCCATGAAGTTATTGAAAAAGCAGTGGGAATATTGATGTCCCCAAGAATGAGCGTGGGGTACTCAACAACAAGCGTCACCTTTCTGAGACCACTTCTGTTAGCTGAAGATGCCTAGTCTGTCCTGATTAGCCAATATCAGATGCAAACACTGGTAGCCAGGTTTCCTGGAAGAGATGGGACCACAATGTCCTACAGTAGAAAGCCCTCCTGCCCCATCTGCAAGCAAGAGAGCTAGTGTGGCACAGTGGTTATGGTACAGGACTAGGACCTGGGAGAGACGGGAGATGAAATCCCCACTTGGCCAGGAAGCTTGCTGGGTGACCCTTGGCCAGTCACTCACTCTCAGCCTAACCTATCTTGTTGTGAGGATAAAATGGGGAAAAGGAGAACCATGTATGCCACCTTGAGCTCCTTGTAGCGAAGGTAGGGTATGAATTAAACAAACAAACAAACAAACACGGTAATTCAGTTTTACTAGCAAACCAGAGGTTAAACTAACTCCTTTCCAGCTCTGGAAGGAGCAAGAGGAGCATTCGTGCGACCCACCTACACACTACAACTGACACACTAATGTGGAGAGTTCTGCTCTGTTCTGCTATTGCTGTAAATAGGACTGTCAAAGGTAGAAGGGAACATTGCTCGGTAGTTATGAACTTCTGTCCATCGTGGCAGCAGGCTGTTTTTGGACAATAAATACAATCAGACTGAATAGGAAGCTTTGACGAATTTGGAACATGGAGGAAACAAGACGTTCTCAGAAAAGAAAAAAGAGCGGAGCAAGAATAGCAGACTAGGGGCAGAGCTAAGGGAAACATGCCTCCCCAAACCCATATTGTGTATACTTTAGATTTTCCATACATTTTAAACTACAACGGTTTGGAAAAACAAATCTTGAGTTTCACTCAGTGCTGAAAAGCATAATTTGTTTGGGCTTCATCTGATTGAGGTAGATCTGAAACATGTGACTCAAGGGAAGGCAATGTCACGAGAAGCACCTGGGGTCTGGCTTGAGCCAGCGACAGGCCTAGAGATTTTGCTAATCACAAGGGGAATTTCATGTTGGTATAACTTGTTTCCCACTCACAGTCCTGGCCCAATTGCTAGCTTATTGCTTAGCATGACGACGGTTATCCTTTGTTAATGGTAGGTGTTGTTGGTGTTAGGCGTATGAAACTCACTACAGTACATGGTGGGCAGGATGAACCATTAGCAACATGGCTGGAGTGTGGCCAACTCAGCCCCAGAGAAGTACTGAAACCCTGTTAGGCCAGAACTGGGTCACTTGGTTCCATAAAAAGTTGATGATTCATAGCTGAACTGTGTGAACTGTCTCTAATGGAATGAAAACCACTATGTCTGAGGGTCAGATAAGACCCAGATGGGCTTAGCTTACCACCTTAAAAAAAATCACATGCCTAGCTTGTTCATTAATAGGGTTGTTGGGGTGGATGCCTAATTTTAATTTGAGACAGGGTCTGGATCTTAACCCCATACCTGCCTTTCCTCCCTTGGATCCATCACTACGAACATTTTAAGCCCAGCTCACGCTGGGAAAAAAGCACGATTGGGGAAGTACGGGGAAGCTTTTTCTATTTATTGTGATTCAGCAAATATGGCTGGCCTTGTCCCGTCAGTCATCACATCTAGTTTGGCCCTGAGGTAATGTGAGGTGGGGACACAGAAGCCCTCTCCGTGGGGTCTTGTGGTTTCTGCTGACCCGTTCACAGGTCTAAGTTATCCACTTGCTGTTGCAGACATTAAGAAAGACAAACATCTTTCTTGGGAAAGAATCAGAGAATTGTAGGCTTGAAAGGGACACCAAGGATCATCTTATTCAGAGCTTTCCAAACGTTGCATGTCGGTGACACACTTTTGAAACACACATCATTTTACGGCAAAGTAATTCAGTTTTAATAGCAAACCAGAGGTTCAACTAACCCCTTTCCAGCAGTGGGAGCGTTTGCGTGACACACCTACACATTGCAGCTGACACACTAATGTGTCGCGACACACAGTTTGGGTAACTCTGGCCTGGAGCCTGTTGTTTGACTTGTCTGCTGTTCTGGCTCATGCCCACTAGAGTCCACTGTTCTCCCTGATAGGTTGGAACATCCATTCCCCCAGATTTCTGCTCCACTGAAAAAGTGCCCACTAACTTTACAAACAAACTGGACGCTTACTTTTAAGCAGACCTTTGGGGGGTGGGGTGAGAGTGTTAGAGGAAAGCTACTCACTAGAGAAGATCATTTATCAGTCTATGGTGATTGTGTAGGGCGTGTAGGTGTAAATGAACCATTCTCTCTCAATCCCAACAACCCAAGTTCCAAGTACGTATAAACCACGCTGCCTCCTGTGTTCCTTGAAAGCAGGTTGTTTCCTTTCTTAAATTCCTTTATGAAATGGGATCAAATACCATAACCAAAACCTAGCCATATCTAGCACAAGTGGGGGAAGGGGGCAACTACCCTGTGAGTATAGGTCCAACCAAAAAATCATATTAGGCTTCCTCAAGGTGGAGTTAGATAGAGAATCATAGAATCTTACAGTTGGAAGGGACCCCAAGGGTCATCTAGTCCAACCCCCCCCCCCCCCGCAATGCAGGAATCTGTTTAAAACTCTGTTTAAAAACCTCCAAGGAAGGCGAGTCCACCACCTCTTGTGGGAGTCTGTTCCACTGTTGAACAGCTGTTACTGTCAGAAAGTTTTTCCAAATG